GCATCAATGCCAACAATGATGTTGCTGTCCTTGGTGATGATGATGGTGACGATATCTTCTACGTTATTCCCTTGGTTCTGCATTCTTTTTCCATTTATAAAGTATGTATGTTCACTTTTCGTTTACTCTTGTTCCAGTCGTTGTTAATGTTTTTTGTTTTCTCCCACACTTGGTCGTTTTCATCGAGTTAATTTACTGAAATAATTAGGATAGTTTTTGCTATGAACACTGCCCCTTGGTCACACTCACACCTATTGTTGGAAGTCAAAGTCAGAGGAGAAGATCAATAAAGCCTGATCTCAGCAATGTGATCAGCAAGAATATCCGTCTCAGCTACATTTTGACGTTGATTAGTAGCTGAGAAAATAGCTAGTCATTACGATGTCATGAGCTCATTCTTCATTGAGGGACCATTGGCGCCTGTTGGGGTGCCTGTACCTCAAAGGTTAAAGAGCCAAATTGGGCTCAATCTCATGATGATCCAGTCAAGTTAGAGGCATCTCTTCCTCCTTCTATCCTGAGATTTGGCGTTTGGCGATGGCAGGCCCTTGCTTCTGTTTTGTAATTTTGGGTGAACTTGTTTGTGTTTGCTCCGAACAGTGAAGATGTTGACCAAAATTGAACATGATTTTAAACGCAATGACATGGAAAGGCTTGGAATTTTGGTATGAATGTTTATGATTTCGTTGATTTTCTCTCTACAGGGATGTTTTTAGTGCCTTCTTGTTTTCTGCGCTGCTTGCTTACTCTGGACTTTATGGTTGCCTCACAAATCGTGTTTTACTATTTTTTGACGCTTATCAGTTTGTGATCAACTCTACTGGCGTTCAAACGGAGTTTATCACATGGGTTTAACGTAGCTGATAATCGACAGTCCGTCAACTTGTTTTTACCTCTCAGAATTTTGAATGTCTTATTCACTCGTTGATAATTTCGTCGGATTTTCTTATCTGGACTTTTATTTTTCATTGCATTATTATCGTCTTATTTATTACAGTGTGTATCATAGAGTGCATTGACGAGCCGGGTAAAATGGATAAATTGCACACAGACGTTTAGATATACCTTCAGGAGTGGGTCGTGCAAAAAATATCTGCGACATCCTCATTTCTTAAAATATTTTAGCCACCATTAAGCTTGATATATCTCAGATATTGTTCATTTTGGTCTCCGTAATGCTCTATTGATGATGTTTTCGTGTGGCTTGCTGAGCCCATGTATGTGGTTATTAAGAACGTAGATTTATGCCGTATATTTACATGTTGAACCCAATAGAGTACCTGGTATAGATTTGCGTATCGAGAATGTTTCTCGTTAGCTTTAAGTTAGACGTCCACTAGTTCAAAGACTAGACTTTAGGCTCGTTCTAACAGCTGTCATCAATCTTTACATTTCGTCGGAAGTCCAGATGGATGAGATCAAGAAACAAGTTGTTTGTGTAAGCTATTTGGAACAGTGGCACGACGCCTGGT